TCCTATCCTATGTTAGTTCTTGAGTTATAAATAGTGTACCTAACACGATTTTCTTTTATATATATAGATATGTATATAGATATATTATTATGTCAGTTCATTTCTGTTGAATATTTACGAGAATAACGAACTGTTTGTGATAGTAACAACGACGGCACATTGTGTCAACGATGACAATTATGTAAACATACCCGAAATGGGACCGTCCCATATTATTACTTTAATAAGTTCCATATAAACAAAAGACTGTAAATATATGGCATACCTTTGTGGTCATAGCGATATTAAATCACTATATAGTATAAAACAAAGTTGCTTTCTCTGTCCCTATATCCCTATGTAAATATGATTAAATCTTTAAAACTAGGCAACGCATTTTGATGCATTTTTTTAACCGACTTCGAAAAAGGAGAATGGTTCTCAATTCGATTGTATAGATGCTTTTTTTATGTTTGTTCGCCGATATCTCCGTTATTTATGATACGATAATTCTTTTGATAATTCTTTTTTTGTTGGAAAGGAGATAGTCTCAGAATGGTCCCATGGTAAGGAAATCAGGATCTGATGACGGAAGACCAGAGAAATCTTTTGCATGTGGCTGATCATCAACCACACCGACTTCAAGATTATAAAATATTTAACAAATATTATTTCTTATTTAACTTAATGAAAATATGTATTACTTTAAACAAAGTAAATTTATTTTTTGCATTTTAGTTTACTTTTTTAAGTCGGATTTTTTTTTGTTAATGAAGGTTTATGTATATAATAATATTTATATTAAATATTGAACATAGTTGGTATAAGCATTACATCCGTGCGAAGTCGGGGCTCTAGCATAAATATAAAAAGGTTTATGTTTAACCAAAAAATAATCACCAAAGGACTTCATTTATTTAATAGGAAAATGATGTTAAATATGTTGTATGTTTAAATTTAAAAATGGTTATAATAGTTTAAGTAGTATTCAAGAGCTATTTTTGGGTCAAAAATGTACAAAACGGCGTTATGTTTCGCCGTGTGAGTGAGGTTACCAGTATACCCTAATCCCCAAAAAGCCGGCAACGTACTCTTAGCTCCTCTGGTGTTACAGGTGTCCATTTATGTGCCGATTGCTTACCATCAGGTAATCCGTCAGCTCGTTAACTGAATAATAACATAAAAGAAATAATACCTCTATACATAGTATCCATGTAAAACTAATTAATAAAGAACAGTTAGACACTATCGGGTCAAAATCTTCGCGTGACTCGAAAAATCGCTTCGTCCGAACTAAATCATTGGTTTCTAATGTTACTGGAACATGCAAACTGTCGAACTAACTGTTTTGTCTTCATTATTAGGTAGAATCAATCATTATTGATGTACTTTGATTAAGCATATATAACTACATATTATATATATTTTTGTTTTTTAAAAAACGTTGCCCCACGCTATGGGTTTCTTTTGTGTTTTGGGTGCGTTTACAAACATACAATTTCACATACACATGACACCCAGGACCGAAACAACAATTTGTGGATCATACAAAGTGTTGTTCCGTGCGGGAATCGAACCCGCGACACGTCGCACGGCAGCCAGTTGCCCAGCCACCGCGCCAACCGTGCAGTCGTAATTAAAAGCTGCTATTTGTTTCCTCTCTATGTAAGTGTGGAAGAGCCAAGCTTTGGCACAAATGGGTAGGCTCGACCTTAGTGATACCATGGCCATGAAACGAAAACCGGCGTGAAACAACGCCTTGTGAGTGAGGTTCCTGGAAGCCCAAAATACCGGAAGCCAAACTTTGTGGGTTGTAAGAGATTTCTTGACTGGATATAAGTATGCCGAAGGACAGCTATCCCACGCTGGCATTTGTTAGTTTGTTAGGTACATGAAATTAACTTCGAAACTACTGGACTAAAAATAAATTATTTTACACTTAGAAGCATAGCTCTGTCGCAATTATCATGCATTCAATATAAAAAAATAAGATATCCAAACTAGTAGGTATTATTAATTCGAAAGTAACTCTTTTCTTTACGCCTAAACTACTGAACCGATTTCTGTGAAATTTGGTACAGACATAGATTGGAACTCGAGAAAGGACATAGGATTGTTTTTATACCAAAAGTCTGCAGAAAGTCTACTATACCATGCGAGCGGAGTCGCGGGTATAAGCTAGTAGCTAATAATTATAGTATTCCTGTTTCATTTTAATTTACTGAATAGAATAATGTAGTGTGACAGCGACTCAAATAAATAAAGATAAAGTCTTCCGCCCACTGCAGCGTAACATGTGCTTATAAAATGTATTAATTATTGTTTACAATATCTGTTGTATTCTATACTAGCGACGATCGCCGGCTTCGTACAGGTGTTGTTCAGATATTAAACTTTACTAAATATATAATAGATGATATTATAGATTACACCTATCTATTCAACTCTATCTAAACGTTGTAGAAATCTGAGAGTTGAATGAAATAAATAATTTTTAGAGCTGATTTTTCAATTATCAGATAATTGTTATCTGAGGAATAGAATTGTTGCTGTCACTGTCTTATACAAACATCTGACGCGACAGCATCATAATTATTCCTCATGTAACTTTTATCTAACCATTGAAAAATCAGCCCAAAATCCTGATACATACAACAAATGCATTGATCAAAAAGTGTTACTTAATGCTCGAGTTGTTGTGTTAACTCTTGTTACGTATGCAATTACATCCGACAACGTTAATTGTTGTACTCGATTCGTTACGTCATCACTAATTAAAAGTGTTGCAAGATTTTATTGTAGCCATAACAACATGGTATTTATTTCCTGAAGGTGCAAGCCATGAGTTTTTATTTTAGAACTCAATTACCTAACTAATGATATTGGTAATACATCATCATATCATCAGCCTATAAGTGCCCACTGCTAAGCAAAGGCCTTATCTCACACGGAGCAGGTTTAAGCATTAATCACCATGCTTCCTCAAGGCGGATTGACAATTTCAAGCTTATAATTTGAAATTATAAGTCCAGATTTCCTCAAGATATTTTCCTTCGCCGTATGTCAGTGGTGTCTAAATAATCATAGAAAGTACATTAACTCGGAAAAGTCGCATTGGTACTTACTAGGTTTCGAACCCGCACTCTTATGTATGAGAAGCGGGCGCCTTTATCTACGAACCACTACGACTTGATCTGATACTGGACCAGTAAAAATTTTGATTAAGAGTTTCTTGAAAAAACCATATAAATACATAAATCTGTTTAGATATCTACGAGAAAACTCATATTATTTAATAACCGAACGACATATTTAGTAAGTCTCATAATATCAGCAATTTCTAATGCACATATATAGCGAAATCTACGAGAGCTTCTACAATGCATCTAGGTAGTATTTCATAATATTAACACCTGGAGTCGAGCTAGAAATTATTGAGGTAGGCGAGAACTGGAGCACAACAAGCATCGTAAAGTTCAAACCTAAATTTAGCTCAGTAAACTAGATTTGAAGGGACTATCAACTAGGTAATATTCAATCTGAAAAAGCTACCAACCAAATTTGACTTCATATTTGTATTTTGTATTTAAAACTTTTACCCATAAAAATTATCCTTTCTCGAGTTCCAAACTATGTCTGTACCAAATTTCATGGAAATCGGTTCAGTAGTTTCGGCGTAAAGACAAGACAGACAGACAGAGTAACTTTCGCATTTATAATATTAGTTTGTATTGGAATTACTTTTTTATACGGTTTCGAACGAAGCTCTTAAAGGACAAATAGAAATATAGTTACACGTATAAATATCTGTAATCAAAATGTATACACTAACACTTAGTTTAAACAAAGAAGCGAGCAACAAAATAAAGATTAATTACCCACTAGACGAACGCTATAGAATCGTCAATAAAAATTACATCATAGTTACTTCATTCATAAAATTAATTCACGGTCAAGAGCACAAGAGCTAGTAAAAAATAGCTCAATCAAGTGCGAACTGAACGAACATTATAACAAAGTGGGGTCGGCGACCTAATTGATAGCAGTGGGCGGATACCTTAATGTTTAATGTTCTTTATGAGGACAAATTAAATCAGTGCAGGAAATTTGGTAGACAGAGCTTTTTATTGAACTAATTCTAAAATGTTTGTATTCTTATTTCATATTTCATATTTATATAATTGCATACCATAATGTTACAAAGATGTTAAGGGCTTAAATCTAAGTATATATTATGGACCCTGATAGCATAGCAAAAAAAAGGTATACATAAGTTTAATAACATTACATATAATTAGGTACAATAATAGGTATTTATATTAAATTATTTATATTAATTTTCTTACAGCATTGAGTTCTTCCATACAATCCTTTCTCTTCCCCAATCCCTAAATCTCTAAAACCCTAATCCCCAAAGATCGTAACTCCTCCATTATATGGATACCCTTCATAGGTGGCGCTGATTGCTTACCATCGGCTAGTGCGAATAATCTTTTGCCGTCCTATCACACAGAAAGAGGAACAATATAGAATTTGTTATGGGATACTTTTTTTTATTTGTAATGGGCAAGCATTTGAACAACATTATATTTTCGCGGGTATTAACGCGGAAAATTATAATTTGAATACCTTGGTAGGCTTGACGTTTCGACCCGGTTGCACAGGTCGTGGTCACAAGCAGACTGAAGACGCGATGTCACAGCTCCCTGCATTCGGGTGATGAAATGAAGATTCATAATTTTCCGCGTTAATACCCGCGTAAATATAATGTTGTTCAGATGAAACGCGAAAGTTTAAAAGTTAGTAGGGCAAGCATTTGGTTGCTATCACGCCTGGTGGTAAGCTATGATGCGACCAACGATGGAGCACAACTACCCATAAACAACCTATTCACTTGGGCCTTGAAGACACACAGGTTATCACACATTTCGAGGAACACAGACTCTAGCAAAGAATTCCACTCCTTAGCAACTCCTACACAAGACACAACAAGACTCTAACAGACTCTTTCCTTGTTCCAGCTACTACGTAGTTCAGATGCCCGACAATGACGTCCCAGCCAAAGAGTTCAACATATACTGGAACGCGCCCACAATGCAGTGCAAATCAAAGGGCATTCTCTTCGATGACCTGTACGAAAAGTACGGAATTATTCAGAACACCGGCGATACATTTAGAGGGGACAGAATCTCTATACTTTATGATCCTGGTGACTTTCCAGCGTTACTGAGAAATAGTAGCAGTGGGGAAATTAAGTATAGAAACGGTGGAGTACCACAGGAGGGGGACCTGATTGAGCATCTGGATACATATCAGAAAGTTGTCGAACAAAGTGTACCTGATAAGGATTTTGATGGTAAGTTTTTAAATTACTTCTTGGTTTAAGACCACGTGTCGTGGTGGCCCGGAGGTTAAGAGGAGGGCGTGGGTTCGAAACCTGGCAAGTACTTTTCCGAGTTGTGTGTACTTCCTATGATTATTTAGACACCTCTGACATATACGGTGAAGGTAAACATCGTGAGGAAACCTGGACTTATAATTTCTAATTATAAGTTTGAAATCGCCAACCCGCTTTGAGTAAGCGTGGTGATTAATGCTCTAACCTTTTCCGTGTGAAAAGAGGCCTTTGCTCAGCTGTGGACACTTATAGGCTGAAAGAAGATGATTAGGCAAAAACGTGTATTATGTTGATGCCTACAAAGTCTAAAACTAATCTATATAATACAAAAATCAATGCCATTTTTCGTTATAATTTTATAACTCTATAATGCCTTTACCAATTTAGCTAATTTTGGATAATCTTGAATTATTCGTGGAAGTCCAGAGGTTTGTCTTTGTACGTAGAGAAAATTAAAAACGATATCTTGAGAAAAGTGTAAAATCGACATCCACGCAAGCGGAGCCGCGGGCGACCGCTAGGCACCCTATAAAAGAGTAAATTAAATTTGCAGAGCCTGTATCCCTTTGTTTAACGATCCTACAATGAGGGCGACCTCGACCTACTTAAAACTGGAAACGTAAATTTCACTAATTACACAGACACATGCGGGCATAATTCGGACTAATCTAGGTATTAATGGCTGCGTTTTATAGAAATATGTTTTAAATCATTTTATTTACTATTCTCGTTAATTTAAGTACATAATTCTGAATAACAAATAAAAACTTGTAAAAAAATTACCTCAGCGCTAGCGTTCCTTGTCGTTTTTTTTTAAATCCATGGTATCACCCTGATCGTGCCGACATTTCGGTCTGTAATCTAAATACATATATTTATATTGGTCCTTGATCTTTATGTTGTTTTCTGTCTCTTTAGCTAAATATTATTATGACACTGTTATCACATAATAATTTACCAAAGAATCTGTAGGTATGTAAAACGGATTGTAACAAAGTAACCATGGAGTTTCTTGCTCGTTATTCTCCATAGGAAACTACACTTTGGAACGAGTTGAGAACACTAGAGGACAGACGAACAGGCTGGCATTTTTATCTTCAAATATTTTCGACGTTCAAATGCCTTTAATTGTCTAATTGAAATGAATGATATGAAAAATGTTTTTTGTGAAAATATTTATACCAAGTTATTGTCTCATTATTATATGTATTATTTTATTTTAGACTAGCTACCACGTCAGGGCCGGCTTCACACGCTATCTATTAAAAATCACATCAAAATCCGTTGCGCAGTTTCAAAGATTTAAGCATACATAGGCATATAAGGACAGAAAAAGCGAGTTAGTGTTATACTATGTAGTGATTCTGTATATTATTAATTGACTGCCCTTCCACAGGTGTTGGAATAATAGACTTCGAGTCGTGGCGACCGATATTCCGGCAGAACTTCGGCGACCTCACACCGTACAAGGACATGTCTTACGAGATTGAGAAGCAACGACACTGGTGGTGGAAGAAGGAGTGGATCCAAGAAGAGGTAATTATTAAGTTGAATTTTAATTAGCTCTTATAAAAGACTTGATAATTTATTGCAGTAGCTGAGTGGTTACTCACGGCTACGGCTTTCGATTTGCTGTCGCGGGTCATTTCCGACATCGAGTAGAAAGTTTTTATAATGGATATTTTTGATCAAAATTACCAGGAAATTCTATAGTATTACGCCAGCAGCATGCCTCAGAAATTGCGTAAAGTAGCTGGTGCCTGACCTCTCTCTGATCTGGCTCTGCTATTAAAATCTAAGCAAAATTGATTACTATTTTTAAAAAGTCGTAGTTAAATAAAAATACAAATAATTTTTTTTTTTTTGTTTATATCATAATAATCTACATGTCGTGGTGGCCCGGAGGTTAAGGCTTCTCATGCATGAGCGTTCGAAACCTGGCAAGTACCAATGTGACTTTTTCCGAGATATATGTACTTTCTATGATTATTTAGACACCACTGACATACGGTGAAGGTAAACATCGTGAGGAAACCTGGACTTATAATTTATAATTATAAGTTTTGTGATCGCCATTGAGCAACCCGCATTGAGCAAGCGTGGTGATTAATGCTCTAACCTTCTCCGTATGAGAAGAGGCCTTTGCTCAGCAGTGGGCACTTATAGGCTGATGATGATGATGCGTTTAGGAAGAAACCCACATTTTGAAAAATCTCACTTTAGATTGGCGGTTAGGGGGAAAAAGGGAAATAAAATTACATATCGTGCACTTCTACTGAATCGTTCTTAGAAGTACACAAGTACTTAGTGTACGGACAATATTGTAATGACACATCGTTCCCATTCAACACAATCATCGCTGGCCAGTGATTGCATCGCATTATCTAACCAGTAATTAGGACGCACTAACTGAAGGGCCCCGATCCAACTGCACTCAGTTTTCTACCTTAAAACGTAGCTATAAAGTTGACAATGCATTGAAGAGTTTAGGCTAGCTTGATCGCCTTCTGTTTTTAGATCACTAATAGTCAAGAGATTTGGAGTAATTGGTATATGAATGTCTTATGGGTCTCTCGCGGTATTAAAATATGTAGCAAAAGGAAGCGTCATTTGCTATGGCAATATAGACAAAAACCTACCGATGTTAATAAAAATAAATTTAAAGACTATTCAAAATTACTTAAAAAAATAATTTATTTAACTCAACGAGCACAGAATACGCACAAAATTAAAACATCAAATAATAGGTCTAAGGCTACGTGGGAAATAATTAATCAAACAAAATTAAATATGCCAAAAAATACTATAGACAAGATTCGATTTAATAATGAAACTGTAACTGACCCCAAAATTATTGCAGATGTGTTTAATAACTATTTTATTGATAAAATCAAACCTATAACTAGTTCGGGAACCATAGTCAATAAACATATTTTGGCAAGAAAAGATTCAATGTTTATGGCACCTAGTCTGGCAATTAATATATTAAAAATTATCGCGGCCCTAAAGAATACAAACTCTGTAGGAAATGATGGCATATGTACAAAAATTGTTAAGTTAGTGGCATATGAAATCAGTAGCCCCATAAGTTACATCATTAATTTAAGCATAAGTGAGGGCGAATTTCCGATTGCGCTAAAAAAATCTATTGTGAAACCGCTGTTTAAGAAACAAGATAGGGAGCAAGTGGAATTTTACAGGCCTATATCACTTATACCAGTAATTTCTAAAATTTTCGAAAAATACTTTTATAAGGAACTTAATAACTATTGTGAAAAAAATAATATATTCTGTGATGAACAAAAAGGATTTAGGGAGAAAAAAACAATCAATTTGGCCATATATGACTTCTTGTATAATGTTATGACAAACATGGATAAAAACACACCAGTCTGCTCAATTTTCTGCGACATGACACAGGCATTCGACTACGTACAACATAATATACTACTTAATAAACTTGAGTCATATGGTATAAGAGGAAATTTATAAAATCTAATAAAATCATATCTAAATGATAGAAAACAGGTAACCCAAATTAGTAGAATAAACATGAGCACTAAACATGAAGAAATTTTCACGTCATGTGAGCGTACAGTTCCTCATGGAGTTCCGCAAGGTAGTGTACTAGGAGCGCTCCTTTTTACTCTCTATATTAATGATTTCCCTAAAGCCATTAAACATCCCATGACACTGTTTGCGGATGACAGTACGATAACTATACCATGCCATGATAAAAATAATTATGAAGCGGACATAAGAAATACTTTAACTGAAGCGGTAACGTGGCTCAATAATAATAATTTGAAAATTAATATTAATAAAACTTTGATTATGCATTTTAGCCAACGACCATCATTATTTTCAAATTTTGACATTCAATACAATAATAATAAAATACAAACAGCTCATACTACAAAATTTTTAGGTCTAACAATCGACGAAAATTTAAATTGGAAAGCGCATATAGAAGCTTTAGCCAAAAGAATAAGCAGTGCGGCATACGCGTTATATAAGTTATCTCGTTCTATCAATATAGAAGCGTTAATAACGGCCTACTATGGTCTGGTTGAATCTGTCATTAGATACGGTGTAATCTTTTGGGGTAACTCAACCGATAGGGATGTCATTTTTAAAAGACAAAAATACTGCTTGCGGTCCATGTTTAATCTCAAATCTACCGACAGCTGTAAAAATTACTTCATTAAATATCGTCTATTAACAATACCTTCACTCTATATATTAGAAATAACAATGTTCGTAAAGACAAATCCGCATTTGTTTCCTCGCATGGCAGACAGATTTCCAAGAAATAGACGTGACGATAGCCAACTATGTTTACATACATCTAAAACTGCACTTATGCGCAAGAGTGTATTTTGCATGGCACCAAAGATATATAATAAATTGCCCAAAACTTGGAAAGAATTAACTATACCTAAGCTTAAACAAACATTGAAATTGTTTTTGGCACAGAAAGCTTATTACAGTATAACAGAATTTTTAAATGAGACAGTGATCGTAATAAATAGATAATAATAAAAACTAACATTGTCCTAATTAAGGTTGTGTGAACCAAGGAACTATTGTTCATTAACTAAATGTTATACATGATTGAATGGTTTAAAATATGAAATAAAATAAGTAATTTGAATTATAATTTGTATACTTTTATAAAAATAAATAATCTGTTTATGTACTTAAATATTAACTTATTTGAATATAAACAAATTGATTAATAATATTATTATGTAATGTTACTGATATTTAATGTATAAATGTAAATTATGTTATTTATTAATTGTTTTGAAATTAATTATGAATTCTTAGTAATGATAAGTAATATGATAATTATAATAGATACCTAAAATATTTGCACGCCATGGTAAATGGCAAACATGTCGTGAGCCCCTTTTATTTAAGATCTTGCATGCATGTATTATTTTAATTCTGTATGCATACACATGTTTGAGCCAATAAATTTCTTATTCTTATTCTTATTCTTATATTTTGATAAGCTAAAGTGGTTCGTGTGTCTGGTTGATTAAAGTTCTAATTTGTAGTTTATTAAGATTAATTTATCATTGTTAACTTGAAAGCTTATTAAAGTTTATCGTATGAAAATTTCTTCATATGTACGTTTCGGTTCAAATGTACAAGTGGTTTCTCAATCAAAATATCAACTTTAGATTGTAGACTAGTGACCAGCCGCGGCTTCGCAAGGTAACAATGCTGATACTAAATTTCTCCCCTATTTAATAGATGTTATTATACATACTGCTTAAACGCCAACGGCATTAAGTCCGCCTATGTACCAAAATATGTGTGCATAAAGCTCAATAAATAAATACATATAAACCTTCCTTTTCAATCACTCTACCTATTTAAAAAAACGCATCAAAATCAGTTGCGTAGCTTTAAGCGTACATAGGGATATAGGGACAGAGAAAGCGACTTTGTTTTATGTAAGAATAAGAATGAACTTCAGATATTTCACGAAGACACATAAATGTAAATGAATTATAATAAAAAAAACTATTATTCCAATTAATATTCTTAATCGAGACCAACTAACTGAAAGTTATATACGTTTATTAAAAACCTTCATCATCAGCCTATAAGTGCCCACTGCTGAACAAAAGCCTCTTCTTATACGGAGAAGGTTTGAGCATTAATCACCACGCTTGCTCAATGCGGGTTGGCGATTTCAAACTTATAATTAGAAATTATAAGTCCAGGTTTCCTCACGATGTTTACCATCACCGTTTGTCAGTGGTGTCTAAATAATAATAGAAAGTACATATAACTCGGAAAAAGTCACATTGGTACTTGCCAGGTTTCGAACCCACACCCTCATGCATGAGAAGCGGGCTCCTTGACCTCCGGGCCACCACGACACTTAAAATACCTTAATATACGTATATAATTTTGAACACAGTTCCTATGGAGCTTTTAGCAACCAAACATTTGAAACGATAGATTATTGAACACAGTCGTAGGTAAATTAAACATCTAGATAAATTAAAGCTCCTAATCCTTTAAATCTTCTTAGACATTATATTGATCGGAAACAGAATACTAATCCACTCGATCTCTGAACATATTACGACATATGTACATACAGACAGACAGACAAATATTCAGAGATTGTAATTTATCAATCAGACGTCCCGACTCGACGTGCTCTCGTCAAACTAATGCTACAGTTATTTAGAGCAGTTGAAGTGATGTTCTACACGCTTATCAATCTATCAATCTACCGGTTGATATATCAATCATAAGTTGGAATGTAGTAGTCAACCTTATTGATCCCATTACATTACATTTTTTCTTTAGTCTAGGTCTTAACAATTGAGCCAGTTTTTGTATTTCAAATTGAAGGTAGATGAGAATAAGATTCAAAATACAAACCTGTCTCAATGGTTTAAACCTAGACTAAAGATAAATCTTGCTTTGCAAAAGTGTGGGAGAGCCATGCTTCGGCATGAATGGGTCGGCTCGACCGGAGTGATACCACGGCCTCACAGAAAACCGGCGTGAAATAACCACAGCGTTGTGTTTCGCCGTGTAACCGTTACCGGAGGCCCAATCCTTCCTCTTCTCCAATCCCAATATCTCCAAATCCCTTATCCCCAAAAGGACGTTTGCCGACCTGTAGTATAAAAAACATAAGGGGGAATAACTTTGGTATTAAGGATAGTTGACTGTTTAAGCTTTATTTGTAACTGAACGTATCTTAAAACTATTTATCTTTATTGAAATAAAAATACGTCTTCAGTTAGCACATACCAACTTGATGCGCTTGAGTCTATTGAGAGGCGAGCTAAGAGGATCATTGGCGATGATGCACTTGTCGAGTCGAGACTTCAAAGTCTTGAGCATCGACACCGAGTACCGGTACATGGTGGATGTCCTACATATACGTACAAAACGTTTTGTGAGCACATTCATTACGCGTACAGCCAAGGAGTGGAATTCCTTGCCGGAGTCGGTATTTCCTGATAGCAACAATCCGGGTATCTTTAAGTCAAGAGTGAATAGGTTACTTCTAGGTAAGCGCTCTCCATCGTCGACCGCATCGTCGCTTTCCATCAGGTGAGATAGCAGTCAAGCGCGAACTTATAATCAATAAAAAAAATACGTTATGTGATGGTATAAGCTATATTTTAATTTAACATAACTTAATATATTTATATATTCAAAACGCTTCTTGTACAAAAAGTGGACTTAATTCTATGAGCATTTTCTAGTGATATAGTGAAAACTATTAGCTTTATTTTAGACCTCCTCTAGCAATCCGCCCTGGTTTTTATCGTGTGCCTTTCCGATACTTATTTCTCCACGATTAATTGCATGTTATTATACATACAAACCTTCCAAATCATTCTATCTATAAAAAAAACACAACAAAATCCATTATGTACCTACTTTTAAAGATTTAAGCATATATAGCGATATAGGGACAGAGAAAGCGACTATGTTTTCTACTGTGTAGTGATACATTCACATCTATCTGTCGTCTTACGAAATAAGTCAACCCAATGATTACTACAAAAATATAATTAAATTCTCAATCCCGTTCACTTGTAGGTCAATCGTAATAACATCGATGCATCGTGTGCCCCACACTAGCTTGTTGCACAACTAGCAATCGAATCCCGAACTGTTTGTTGTCTAATAATAAAGACTGTGTTAACCATTATAATATATCACAGCTGGTTAGATAGTTTTCGTAAGTACAAGCACGATAATGTTTTTATGGGTAGATCGGCAAACGAGCAGACGTATTATCTGTTAAGCAATGATAAAGCAGCGCCGCCAATGGACAATCGCAACACCAAACGAGTTACCAATGCTTTTGGGGATAAGGGTTTCGGATATTTAAGGATTGGGAAGGAATTGGGGGCGGTGAGGGATTGGGCCTACGCTAAACTCACTTACACGTCGAAACACAAAGCCGTGGTTGTTTCATGTCGGTTTTATGTGAGGCCGTGGTATCACTCCGGTCGAGCCGATCCAATCGTGCCGAAGCTTAGCTCTCCCACACTTATGTATCGTAATCAATTTAAAATCGCTCTTTGTTTTTTATTTCTGTTTAGTGTTATCAATTAGTTATAAAAGCCATAAACAAAGTCAACACACTCATAAAATACCATAAAAAATTTAGGCCTTAATAAAAAAATATTTATATCTTTCAATCCAATAAAAATATTATACCTAATTCGCAAAGTAAAAATTGCTATAAAACCTAATAAAAAATTTATACGATACGCAAAATTAAATTGTTAATTCAATTTTTATTCTTAAATCCCTTTATTTGCTTAATGCATTTATAGACAACCAATATTCTATATTTATTTATATATTGATCTATTACTTCAGTGGTCATATAACTATGGATTTAAGGATTACGAAAATTTAACGACTCCTAGCTCTTGTATCGTAATCTATACTCGGAATTTTAATTCCATTCCAGATTTGAAAATTTCAGTGTTGCAGCGTTATGACACGTACTAAATAGTAACGTTACGAAATTATTCGATATGGAAATCGAATTTTTCTGAATCGATTTCTCTCGTTTATAAATTTGCTCTCGTAAACTAAGTTTATCGGGAAATAAAATATTTCTGAACCCATCATTTAGTTTTCACAATTAATTAACGATCTGAGACTTTTCTTTTGTAATTGTGTGCGAAATTAATAAAAAATGTGATCATGAAGGAACATAACAAATAAAACAGACAGTTTATAAATTGTCGCCGTCATCGCTATCGCTATCGCTGTTTCTTTCTGTAACAATTATTATGAATTGTGTCTGTGATATTTATTGTCAATTAACATATCTAGCTTACTCATTTTTTCCTCTGCTTTGACAACATGGGATACGCATTTAGACCATTCGGTAGCCGTATTTTTTTAAATGCCTTCCTGATACTGATTTACTGATTGTTTATCGATTTTTGTGTTCATCACTACACTGTTATAATGTGGTATCATTATTTCACAAAATAACAGTGGTCAATGTCAAATCAGGAATCGAATTAAAATTCTGACTATATATAAACAAAGATTTTCTTGATCTGTTTGAATTTAATTATTTTTATTGATAGATTACTACTTAATAATCAACATTACAACAAACATTATTACTTAATAATCCTGCAAAACTGTCAAGTAATGATCATTAAAATTGCTCCATCACGACAAATGACACTTTGATAGGTAACCGTAACACGTAACCGTAGTATAAGTACATCTGTCTTAATTTATTTTGCATATAATATAAAACAGTAAGAAACAAAATATAATACCTACTTGTTTGCATTGAATTTGGATAATCACAAAAACATATTTTTCTTAAATCGGCTTATTTTGTTTTTGATTGATAATAAAAACTGAATAAGATAAAAGAGAAAAAATATATTCTTGTCCGTTTTTACCCGTCATTCTCCGAAACGAATGAATAAATTCAAATGAAATTTTTTCGTTGTAAGTATAGGTATAGATCGTAGACCCGAGCTTACATACAGTCGATTAAAAATCATTACGGAATATGAAACAAAAATAAATAACTAAAAATAAAATCACTATTCTACTTTCTGAAGATAATTTGCTTATTAATTACCATAAAATTTAACAACCATATTTACCTTTATACATAAGATATTTAAAATTATTGGTTTACATATTAAATAACCAACTGTTCAAATACCAATAAGATTATGTAAACAGTAATATTATAATTTATTACAGCATATTGTAGTGTATAAATATTAAATTCAGAGTTTTTGTTTGTTCATTCATATTTATTATTGTTTCATTTTATATATTTACTAAGTATATATACATATGTATTTAAGTTACTAAGCGCGTTTCAAACGGCTGAATAAAGTTGGATCAGGATTCTTAACCGTCTCCCAAAAATGTGAGCTTACTATTGTTTTAGTATACGAAATGGCAAATCCTTTTTTTTAAAAAGCCTGTAATGTCCCATTTCTAAACAACTGGCCTCCCCATCTCGCTTCCACATCTTCCGATCCTTCGACCATGTCCACCAGTTTAGACGATAGGCGTCTAGATCGTCACGCAATCTTTTCCGGGGCCTCCATACTGAGGTGTCCACTGGGTGAATAGTGGCCCATCTCTCCAGATGGATTTGGCTAACGTGTCCGGCCCAGTCCCATTGTAATTTTGTTGCCTTTTGGCCCACATCAGCTACCCCTGTTCTTTAACGAATCACCGTATTCCGCATTCGATCGGTCCGTTTTTTATACCTAACAAGCAACGTTCCATTGGCAAATCCTAAAACCACAAAATTAAATTAAACTAAATTCTATATTTCAGACCAGAGATCCATATAAAAGCGTTTGTAATTTCTTATTCTACTTAATGTTTCTAGAAAACTGGAGTTAATATTTGTCAATTATTGACATGGACATCAGGATACACATATCTTCTTGCCCAGTGTGTAATAAACGGTCCATCAATTTAGTCTGCCAGTATATTTAGTACACTGTTAGGACTGCCCCTCGATCGCCGCATCATGGATGCACATCACTTGCGTATAATGGGATAGAAGTCATCTACGCTGAAAGCTACTTGAAAAATGGTTTTCTCACTGGGTGGACCGACGACATCATCAGAGTCATGGGGAGCCAATGGATGTAGGTGGCAACCTGTCGTTCGATGTGGAGGATTAAGGAGACCTTCGTCCTCGCTCAGTGGAAGTCTTTCGGCTGATGATGATGATGATGATGATAATTTATTGTACTTTCTGATAGCTCAGTAAGTAAAATAAATTTAAATAGTAAAATATCCAGCACTATCGTTACTCTATAGTAACGATAGTGTCTAATACTACTAGCGGCCCGCCCCCACTTGGCACTGGTCCAACTATCTCGCTATCAAAGGGTCACTTTTTCCTAATCTTTCCCTATACTTTTCTAATGTTTTCTTTGATAAGAACCTTCTCCTGACGATAACAAACACAACAAAAAACGAATTAGCACAATTGGTCGTTGTTGAGTTATGCGCTTACCAACACATTTTGCGATCCATTTTTATATATAAGGAGAAGATAGACAATGGATGCAGGTGGCAACTTGTCGTTCGACGTGGAGAACTAAGGGGGAGACCTTCGTCCTCGTTCAGTGGAAGTCTTTCGGCTGATGATGAAGTCAACGTTTAAGTAAAGTCTAATACCTTCCATCTGAATGTTCCAGGCTAAACGTCGTTTCGAAGCAGCTGGTCGTGAGTTCATGCAGGCGACGCTAGCGCTATCGAAGAAGATGAGGCCCCGTGCTATTTGGGGGTACTACGGGTTCCCGTACTGCTTCAATATGGCATCTAATAATATGAAAGAGGCCTGTGCTGATAAAGTACCGCAGGAGAATGACGGGTTTGTTCAAATTTGGTTCTTATTGCCTTTGGTTGCTTCTAGAAAAAGGTAAATGTTGAATGCGCGTAAGTTAACGTGTAAGTTTCATCTTAATTTTACTTTTTCAGCTGTATTAAGGGTTCTTTATTAATTTACTTTTTACTTCTATTACAAAGTTACAAAGGGCGATAAAATATTCCAATCGTTTTTGGAAAAAAATTGGGTATTTACTCGATCAAAAATTCTTCAAGATTTAATTACAATAAATATTAAAAAATAATTGTACCCTTTTGATGGATTTGGCGATTTATTTAATTTTTAGCTGTATAGCCCAAAAATATGAAGACGTCACATTTCTGTTTTTCCAATAAAATTCATAGAACAGTTTTGTTTTAGAAATATCATTAAAAGTATTTTGACACGATGTCAAATACCATATTCACCATTAAAATCGTGAAACTCTGATAAAAAATCGTTTTTAATTAGCGAAATATGAGATCAAAAAATTCTTTCAAAACGAAAGAATCCTACACAGCAATATTTCAAAATCACATCATAATAAACAAAGATCTTCCAAAAATTCCAGGTTAAGTTGGCTCTGGCAAGAGAGCACAGCCCTGTACCCCTCAGTGTACAGCTCATCAAGCCTGACTACACGACAACTGGCTGCTCTCATACGTGGGAGAGTGAAGGAAGCTGCCAGGAAGGTCAGGGGAGGAGCACCCATACTGCCATACTTCTGGTACCGGTATAGAGATAGTGGGTTCTTAAATAAGGTGTGTTGGATATTAAATCATATCATCTTTTAAAATAATTCTGATGTACGTGTGTATGTCATTGCGCTCCTCCTAAACGGCTTGACCGATTTAAATGAATTTTTCTGTATGCGTGTGAGTGACGCCTAGGATCGTTTAGATTCACAAATCAGCCCGGCAGATGGGACTGATTGCTTGAAGAAGCACTTGAGCTTGGAAACGGCCCTAACGATTTCGATGAAATTTAATATGTGAGGTTTTCAGGAAGGGTCCGCTAGTTTAGGTTTAAAGATTAATTTGGCTTACGAATGGCGTTTTAAAGACCTTTGCTTTCATCAGAGACAGAATGATAAAAATCTAAAGCCTGTAATGGTCTGCCATTGTACCTATCGATCACTCGAATGTTTTCATTGGTTCTTTTCCATCTGTGTTGGATTTAGACTTCTCCAATAACACTGCACTGAATTCGTGGTTCAGTGCTTCACATTCAACCATTACACTTTTTATGTCTGCAAACGAGAAGACGGAATACCTGATGGTAAGCAAAGGAAACGGGGTGAATAGACACGGAAGAGGGGTAAATAGATACTAGGAAAATTCGCCAACATCAGTCTATTCACCCCTCAAAAATTCTATTCGCCCCGTTTTACGGTACTACAAGTACATTGCCGGGTTCAAGGATAGGGGATTTAATAAGGATTGAGGATGGGTTTGGGAAAGATTGGGCCTCTGTTGACCTCACAACGTATGTGTTCTTCACGTCAATTTTTGTGAGGCCGTGGTATCAATCCGGTCGGGCCACCCCATTCATGCCGAAGCATGGCTCTCCCACACTTTTCTGTAGTATTGATTTTCAGCTATTAGAAATGGGTAAATATTAGCTTTGTCATTGGGCCCTTCATTTCTATTAGTATCCATACTAGCTTCCATGATCTACAACCGTAATAATATTAAAAAAAACTTCTAGCACACACATATCATGCGACAATATAACAGTCTATCACAGATTCAACTCCCACACATAATTAATTATTAAATAGTCCGTTACATACATAGCTATGATAACGAACACAATACCACTATTTGATAAAGAAATAAAATAATAAACTACATAGCAACAATGTTTTTCTATTACAGACCGACTTGTATGTAGCTTTGAACACGTTTTATAAATCAAACGCGTCAGGCTTCATCATATGGGGCAGTTCTAATGATGTGAATACAGTAGACAAGTGCAAGCAGCTTAGAGAATACGTCACGAATATATTAGGACCTGCAATAGCTAAATACACGAAACAAAACATGAGACAAGGAGATGATCCAGAAGAAACATTAGGAGCTAATTTCAATCGAAATAATTCTACTACATTCGATCCAGAATTCAACTGGATACCACCAGAAAATTATACGCAAACTATAGAAGAAATTGTAGATAAGGAACTTAAAGAAGAGAAGGAGATAGGACATAAGAATGTTACTGAAAGTATTCTAGTTGATATGATTTTGAATAATATAGCTACTAGCTGTGGCGATGGCTGTGATAGTGCAAGTAAAGATATGCCGACTGATGCTAAAGAGATAAAAGAGGCGGATAGTGCAACAAATGAGTCTCAGATTTTAGTAGTTACTGAGGATCCTTTTAAGAAGAATTCTAGTGTGACTACAGCCACTGGTAAGTTTGTAAAAATCAATTCAAAATTATGACCACCACGGTTTTGGCAGACTGAATGATACAAAACTCTTTGACGCCAGTCAGTTTTTAATAAAAATATATACGAACGATTAAACTAAATTAAATTTTCTGAGACACACATAAAACGAATACACATAATGTCACTAATCATTCAATTTCCAAATTTCAGTGCCAACTACTACGGAAGAATACATTTACGATTACGACACAAATGTTCCAGGGGACATAAATGTTGAAGATGTAGATGAAAATGTTGATTATAGTGATATTAGTACAACTAGCAAAGATAGAGAAATTATTAGTACAACCGCTAAGACTATTGAAGTATTCATTACAACTAGTGCAAACACGGAAGCAAGTACTTATAGTGAAAGTAAAGAAGAGACTACACAAGGAAAAGAAGAAAGTAGTACGCCAATCACAAGTACTACTGCCATAGAAGGGTTTACTTTAAGAAATGAACTAAATAATGCCATAGACCTAAATGTAGAAGAAGAAAACAGTATAGAATATAGTACTGCTACCCCAACAACTAATGCAAGTACTACAGAATTTAGTATTACTACGTATAGTACAACTAGTCTTAATGAAGAAGAGGCTACAATTGAAAATGAACTTAATACAACTAAGGATAAGACAGATGATACTGTAAGTGATAGCAGCACAACGTTAGCACCAGTGTCGACAGAACAGGTTGTTGTTTCAGTTGTTTAAGGTTTGTTGTTAACTGTTGTTCTAATTTTATGTTTGGAACAAATTATCTACTATAAAATCTGAGAATTTTAATACAACCATGTAGTTAGTTATTTCTTTGAACTATCTAAAAGTTAAGTTGCCTAGTATTTTCTAAAGAGGGAAATCTTGACAGTTATGTCACATGGCCCATATCGGGGAAAGGACAAAGATCCTGCGCCAAATAAAGAACACAAATCAGAACTCAGTGTTTTTCTTGACATTTCTGGAATTGTGAATCCTGATAATACCCAATTTGTAGATACATTTATTAAAACAGATATTTTTGTAGTCAGATTTTTATCTTCTATATTTCTCTTTCCAATTCACAATTTCACTATTGTATTTATAAATCCATTTTATGTAGTTCTAGTTTATGTTTTGTCTCATTCTCTCAAGTTATAACCTGAGCTTGTAAGAAGAAGACAGAATCATTCCTTAGCTGAAGTAGATTAGTATTTTATAGTAGATAATATTGTTCATACTAATTCAAAATTTACAATTGTAATTGCATTTGCATCCAAAGCTGTACTTAATTCTTTTAATTAATTGTATAATTCTTTATTACTAATTATGTTACAAAATTTACCTAAGTAACTGTTTGACTCGACTAGTTTCGAATGCTCGTAGCTATGAGCTCTTATCAAAGCCTGAAACTGGTTGAGTCACCTCGAAGTCGACGATTTGTCCGACTCAAGTTAACAGTTACTTGAGTAAGCGATACAATTCATAATTTTGTTTAACTTTTCACTTTTTACTTTGCTCACTCACTATGTAACTCTAATTAACACTTCTGTTGCACAATTTATTAATTCTATTATTTATTAAGGAATGTTATCGTTATAATCTTTATTATTTTTCTAACTTTTAATATTTTCTTTGATTATGGCATTTTGTGTTTTGTTACGCTGCTGATAAAGATTGAAATGCTTTAAAATTATTAAGCTCTTATTAAGGACATGGGTATGTTCTAAAGAAACCATCAAATAGACATTTATGGTGCTATTCCTTTCTGTCTCTTTTTTGGTTTTTAAATTTTATCGTCCAAGTGTAAGTCCAAAATCCAGTGAATAAAAAAACAGATTGTTTACACATCAAGCTATGAAAACTCTGTAGTATAAACGAATATGATAGATTTATTTTTTCCTCCAAGTACATAATTGACACTTTCATAGCATTCAGCGTCATCCTGATTGGCCAGCTCCAAGTTAACCAACCAATCAGAGGGCGTTCTCGGTAACTTTTACATCTATATGCTCTATAGCTTATGAAGGATTTCAATCTCATTGTCAGCTGCTATTTTATCATTTTATTCTAATTGCACTATAATTTTATTGTTTTAACTATAATTTTCGTCCATGTTTGCTTATACTTTATTTTTTAAGTTTAGTTCTCTATGTAACACACTCCATTTGGGTATAGCGTTAGGAATATTGACAAAATCTTTATTGTTAAGTCGATTTTTAATTCTATCGCTTATAAAATAAGATACATTATTGTGTTCGATATGACAAACTGTCTGTGTCATTCCTGAGTCTTTAACGTAGAATTCAAAATCATTTGAGTATGTGTATATAGCAAAGGTTTGTTCATTTCCAACGTTATTTACAAAATGGAGTTTATAATGTTCCGGTTTTACTCGACTTTTGTAATGAAGGCTACCGTTGTTTACTCAACAGATGGCGCTGATATAAAGCGGGTCCTATTTGCCCAGTTGTGCTTTGAATAGTAATTAATAATGTAAGGCATTCTAAATTTATTAAAAATAACGACTTTCCTGCATAAGCTGAGAAAATCTCTTTAATACTAGTTTCAAGTCAAAAATGGAGTCTCGATTGTGACTTGAACCTAGTAGAGTAGAGGTTTTTTCAGTTAAATCTCGTGATAACATCGTTACTTTCAATAAATTTTGATACTTAATTATCCAGTGTCAGACCATTGGTCATAAAACAACAGCAGCTAATAGACAAAAATGATGACAGTCTACATAAGCGCCATCTGTGAGCAAAAAAATGGTACTTAGTTCTCATAAGAGATCTGTTAATGTCTGTCACTTACAAAAAGTTTAGTAATCAACCGAAACATCAAATTTTCTCGAATTATTTGTATTTATACATTTCTTTTCTCATTTCTATGTTGGTTTAAAATCAATGAGCTATCTTCTCTGCTGCTGTCTTTCTCATGAAGAGACTATCTTCAGGTTCAAGTTTTAAGCTATCGTTGTCTTCTTCTAATAGAAGCTTTAGAAAGAGATGGATGTCAGTTACAGAGCAGTATATATTTTCTTTGATTTAGGTAGGTATATTAAAGATTTGAAGTGATCCACTTTTTAACCGACCTTAAAAGAAGGAGGTTGTATAAAATTAACAGTTTTTTGATAAAAATCTTGGTATACATTTTTTTTTTCTAATGTAGGGATAAAATTCAAAAAATTTTTCATTTATGATGGCTGCCAACACTAAGTAAAGTTATTTATTTTTTTCTTAATAACCACTTTGTTGTATACATTCATATTATCATATTCAGATTTGTAGCCACTTTCAAGACTTTAAGGCAAAAAAAATACTGACAATAAATTTTCAAAACTAAACATCTTCCATCTCTATCTAAAACAAGTAATCAGAACGAGACAACGATAGAAAACTTTTAATTGAACCGTAACCTCGAATAAATTGTATGAGAAGATAGGTCATTGTAAGGTGGTGTGTTTGTTTGTGTGTTAATTAATATTTGTGTATAGGTGTTGGGGTCTGTGTCCAGAGCTATCGTCGTAAAGCCGGTCGTGTGCACTCTGTTCTATATCTACTCTGTGACCAAATGTCTATGTCTTATATTTGGAACGTGCTAAGGTAGTGGCTAACGTATGCAATTATCAAACTTAAAGTCTTATGACAAAGTACATTTTACAATGACGTTGAGATTGGATTTAATATTTTTTGTTTTTATCGTTAAACAATTTTTGTTTAGAAAAGATATGATTCTATTTTTGTATTGTAGTAAAATGTTCTTAAAGTTGATCGACATAAGGTAGATTGTACGTTACATATTTTTATATGAATCTCGATAAACGAATATTTTTCTATTTCATAGGTAAAATAATAACTAAAATCAATCCATCACGTAGGTATTAATTGTGTACATAAAATTTTACTTTACACATTTATTTTTTAAATTTATTTAATGTAAAAAAGGTTTGCCATAACGTACTTACCTCCTTTCAAAGATGGCCGGCAGGTGAAGCTTTTCCTCGTATTAAAAACAACTGTGTTACCAAACGATAGGGTTGAATATGCATCAAAGACGTGCTGGCATGGGAACTTCCTTAAAAACTTAATAAGCTAAAATAATGGATATAAGCTATACTTAAGTATTAAATTGCATTTAGTATCTAATAAAATATAATTTCACACACACAAAGGTCTACCTATACCTCATACAGCCTCTTAGGTTATTTTAAAACAAAAGAAAATTGGTTTCCTCATTTTCCTCACGATGTTTACCTTCACCGTACGTCAGTGGTGTCTAAATACTCATAATAGAAAGTAAAGTTACATTGGTACAGTACGGCCGCCGTATCTTGTCGAGTGTGAAGTTAGCTGTTTGTCTGCGCAATGAATCTTTAAGGAACAAAATTGTGTACTGCGGCTAACTTCAGACTCGCCAAGATACGTCGGCGGTATTGTACTTGCCATATTTCGAACCCTCTTGCATGAGAAGCAGAGGCCGAAGACGGGTGCCTTAACCTTCGGGCCACCAGGACTTTTCGTTAGCCACTACCTACTTAAACTTGTTAATTAACAATGTGTCTGTTACTGCTACTATTAGAGCACAGTTAATTCATAAAATCTTAAGCTAAGTTTAGACTACGAAGCAGCCTGGATTGAGGGGTAAGCGCAATAAGGCTCCTGCCTGGTGAAGGAGAAGGGACCGGGTGGTTTTTAGTTAGAGTCTGACGTTTTTTCGACCTACCCTCGGTGGGAGAAGTCATTATTGATGATTCACAAACAACAAAAGAAAAGGACGACCAATAATATTTCTTTTTATCCAAAAAGTTTTTCTTTGTCTTGATAATTCATATTTATTGACAAAATCTTTATTGTTAATTCTATTTTTAATTCTATCGCTTTCAAAATAAGATACTTTATTATGTTAGATAATTATGACAAACTGTCTCGCAAATTTACAATTTGCGTTTAATGTCATTCTTATGTCTTTGAAGTAGAATTCAAAATCATATCATATAATTCATTGATTATATCAGAGGCTTTATTTTGAGTATGCCATAGTTGCTATTTTAACGCAATTATTGCCTGGGGTTGCTTACAAGGCGCAATAAGAGAAGAAGACCTCGACCTGACACTCCCTCTTGCCCCACCTTTTTTGTGTCAGGGGAAAATCATCAAATGACTTCTCCCACTCAGGGTAAGACGAGAGAAAGTGTCAGACTCTTACTGACTAACCCGCCATCCCCCAGTTCAATCTCCTGCTCTGCCGAGGCCGCGTTGACTCATTTCGCTTACCCAGCAACCCCGGCTGAACATCAGCCTTATAGAGCCCCGTCTGTGGTGTCGCCTCACCCTGGGTGGGAGAGGGAAAATTCATCTAATGATTTTACCCTAAAGAAAAGCCCTATTATCGCCCAGCTCAAAACAGAAGAAGGGGTGGTTTTTATTAAGAGTCTAGCTCTCCTTCACCTCAAACAGTGCTGTTCAAAAAGAAACCTTGTAAGTAATATCAATAATGATCATTGTTATTAACTTGGTTTATAAATAAACTCTTCAGATTTATAACATTAGTCTATACTAAAAAAGATTTTGTTTGTTTGAAGCGCTAATCTCTGGAAGTACTGGTCCAAATTAAACAATTCTTTTTGTGTTTGTTAGTCCATTTATTAATAAAGGCTATAGGCTATAAAACATCACACTATGATCTGTAGGAGTTGGGGAAACCGCGTGAGTGTAGCTAGTTTGTAATATTTCTGTGACGTATTTCCACAAGGCTTTGCAAAGTAATCTAAACTTTATCGTCAAACGTTACGATACAAATGTATAAAATTATCGTATAACAGAATTGTAGCCATCGGTAATTTAGCGACATGCGAACTTAGTATGTAAATTGTGACTAATCATTTTATCTGTGATATGTTTTTTAGTATAATTTTGTTAGATATTTTTTTTAATTTGTGAATATTGCCAATTTAATTGTCATATAGTAGATTGTAAGAATAAAGATATTATATTTTCAATGTATTTTATTGTTTAATTTTTATCGTTTGTGTGGGAGAGCCATGCTTCGGCACAAGTGATACCCCGGCCTCACAGAAAACCGGCGTGAAACAACCACAGCGTTGTGTTGCGCCGTATGAGTGAAGTTACCGGAGGCACAATCTTTCCCCTACCCTAATCCCTCCCCATTACCAGAATCACCAAATCCCCAATCCCCAAAAGGTCGGCAACGCACTCGTAACTCCTCTGTTGGTGGTAAGTACCCGCTACGGGTGCTTACCATCAGGTAATCAGTATGCTCGTTTGCCGACCTATCACATAAAAAAAAAGAAAAAAATAAAGAAAGACCACATTAATCCACATACTTTATTAACACAAACAGAAACGAAACAAACAATAGATGTAACTGAACACATCAAAAAACTTAATTAGTAACACTTCTCTAACAGCATTAAATATTCATTACGGAACACACAAATTAAACTTAGAAATTACAAGACTATAAGGTCTATTTTTGATCTTTAACACTTCCGACCCACCGTTCCTGATGTTCAAATCAATTGTTATTTATTTTATTTAACGCTATCCTGCTCATGAATATAAGCCCCCACCGTTGCTCGAAACTAGTTGAGCTATCTCGTCAAACATTTACTTGGGTAAGCTGTTAAACATAACAATTAATTTAATTATGTCCCACGGAAGGTTAATACTAAAATTTGAAACTTATTAAAATGGCGGATATGCTCTTGTTATACCACAGATTGTCTTACAGACCCGTCTGCTTATTTGTCGACCAACTCCATAAAATAATGTGTTCTAAAAATGGTACGCACCATTCGCATATTAAAAGTATTCCTCTAAGATCCGAGTAAACTATTGTACTTATGAAAGATACTACTTGATAATTTAATTTATAGGTATAATGAAAGAAATATGCTACTTGATAATTTTATCGCTACATACGATACAACATCCAATCAAAATCTTTTGTAGTCTTTTTTGTGTAGAATTATTTTAATTTTTTTTTATTATTGTGTAATTTAATTGATTTACTTTTTGAATAGAACACTTATAATACTATATAAATTATGCAGTAACAATAGCAAAACAATAATTTTTAAACAGCAAAGGCATCTCATCGTCAGAAATGAAATTCCTGTCAGGTCTAACGCTAGCAAAATTATTGTATTTCGGTTCTGCTATGAAGTTGAATCCTGTCTCTGAACATTCCTTGATCCTGATGCAGTCTTTATGGAGCTCTGTGATCGTGTACCCTGTGATGATGAAGGGGACTTTCTGCTTGAGGATGGCGTCTATAGTTGAGGGCCAGGGATCCTTGCCGTTGTAGATTGACGATCTTTGAATTGCGGGGTTGAAGGCACATACTGGAAATTAAAAAAAACTTGAGAGATGTTATTCAAACTCTTTTCGAGTAAAGGAACCATTTTTTTAAGTAAAAATTTCTTTGTTATTATTTAATGTAGGTACACTCTCATTAAGAATGATTTTTGCGATACCACATTGTTTAATGTGAAATAGCAAGACGAAACCAAAAATTGCTTGCTTGCTTGGTATGAAAAAAAAGAGAGTACATCTTTTCATCTTATTTTATCCATCTACGCTCCTTTCACAAGGAACTTCATTCAAGAGAATTGCCTAAACTCTTAAGTTTTCATTAAAAACTAGCTGCACCAAAAATTGGCCAAATTGGTAATCCACTTAGCTTACCAAATTATAAAAATAACTCATAAATGGCTAACTGGCGATACAGGTTCAATATCATTGTGCAACTAACTTTAAGTAGGTATCTCATTTAAAGGACTTACCAATATCAGGTGGAACAAAGTCTTCGCTGTTCTTATAGTCAGTGTAAGTTCTCTTATCTTGGAAATTGAAGACCACACGGCGACCGCTCTGCCGGCAGTTCTCACATAACCTGAGCACAGAAGAAACTTGCTGAGCATCGCAGTAGCTAGATAGACGAATAAGATGGCTGTGAACTTTTACCAGAGGCCCAATCCCTCCCCCTCCCCCATCCCTTCCCAATTCTTAAATATCTGAAACTTTTATTCCTAAAACGCCGGCAACGCACTTGTAACTCCATTGGTTTTGCTTACAATCAGGTAATCCGCCTGCTCGTTTGCCGTCCATAATCACCATCTCATCTAGAGGTAGAAAATATGAGTGTACAGCCATTTATTCCCCCTATTCAAGGTCATCCAGCTGCATCCCTAAGTGTGGGAGAGCCAAGCTTCGGCACGAATGGATCGGCTCGGCCAGATTGATTGCACTGCCTCGCATAAAACCAGCAAGAAATTGCCGTGTGATTGGTGTTACTGGAGGCCCATATTTTTTCCTTCTCCTATCTCTTCTTTTCCAATCCTTAAATCTATAAAGGCCTAGTCAACAAAAGACAGGCTACGCACACCAAACTCCTCTAGTGTTGCTGGAGTCCATGGGCAGCGCCGATTGCTTACCATCAGCTAATCCGTATGCTAGTTTGTCGTCCTATCACATAAAAAAAACATCAAACTCATCTAATTTATAATACAAGAATCTATCTTGTTTTAAAAAAGCCAACTTACTTGATCTTTCCAAGCAATTCCAGTGGTAGGTTCGAAGGGTTCAAGTTATAATTGATGAGGACGACTCTCAACTCCTGCAGCTCCGGTCTGAGGTGGAGGAAGAACACCTCCCACTTGTTGAGGGCATCAGCCTCGAACTGCAGTTCAGCTCCAACCACGTGGATTGTGAAGGTGGATTTCTTGAATATAAGAATTAAGAACTTTAATAATAGTACATTATGACACACGCGTGTAAAGTCAGTGATTACCACAGTAATTATCAATACACACATGTATCATACGACGTATTTCAACACACTTCTGAATAAAATAATACTTAAATAAAAACTTCAAAAGAGACAACCGAACCGGCTTGAAGCAACACCGGAGGCCCATG